AAAGACGAGCAAAGAATTCACAATGCATTCAAGAAGCAAAACTTCTCCACTCCAGCAGCAGGAGCAGGAAATAGATAAAGTCTTCTATCAATTATCAACACCAAGAAAAATGAAGAAATCGAAAACACGCTGAAGTCTCTTACTAGGAACATAGAAAAAGTAGCGGAGAATATTAAAAAAATATTATTAATATTTTCAGTTTCCGGGCGGATCACTTTGTAATTAAGTGTTTTTAGCTGGGTAACGTTTCAGCCATACAGCTACAATCCTCTCCAAATATCCTTGAAATACCCCTTTCCCCTGTGCAATGTTGAGATGACATTTTACTGTTTCACTGGCTACAACAACATTGCAAAAGGGAGGGAGACGGAAGCGGTGCGAGAATGTTCAAAGTGTTTCAAGGTTTCTGTCTAAGATTGTAGCTTCCTCCTACCTGTAAAAACTTTATGCCATCATTACTAACCAGCTCTCACGTTCCCGCTCCTTAGCAATTCACCGTTATAAATTGTAAGACCCCAAAGAGGCTGATGTGATGGCTCGAATACAAGGGTAGACGCTTAGTAACTCTGCCTTCGGCAATATCTTTTTTTAAAAAGATCTTGAACTTGCCTAAACATGCTTTGTTTTCTCTTTTGTTACCAGCCCACCTACGGAGCCTTTTCAATTCATTTTGAGAAACAACAGTTTTAACCGCATTTCATTCATAAACTATTTATTTTTTTGCTCTCCACTTTTGCTCCCCCCAAAACTGCTAATTCCCTTGGACACTTCTACTAGCCCGGGTCTTTTGTTTTTATTGTAAGGTCGTTGCGCGAAAGTACAGTTATTGGCAAATAAAATTAAATAACTATCAACTTATCATTGACTTATTAGTATGCAGAAAGGCAAATGACTAGGCACTCAAATTAGTATGAAGAAAGGCGCTGACTAGGCATTTGCTAGGCACCTTCTAGATCACTAAGGAAGTCTTTCATGATCAGTCAAACTTATGCTGACGGGCGTTCCTAGTTTACTAAGTCAGATGCTAATTTACTTTAATTTGTAAATGCATGATAGTGCACCAGTTTTTTCAACCGCCTTAATAGACTGATTATTTCCGCTTTCATTTGTTTAAAAAGTGAATTTGCGTTTTTTCAATATCGAACGCGATAACTCCAACTCATTTACTGTACTTAATCGTCACATGCAAGCAGACTCTTTTTGAGCGAAATTCCTAACAAACAGATTCAAGGTCAGAAAAAGAAAGAAAATTTCCCTTGTTTACGTCCTCCATAAAACGTGAAATTAGGCATTTTTCTATCCCTTCCGAATATATAAGCCTCCCTCTAGCTTGTATTACTAGTAAATTCGATTTTCTGCGACGTTTTAAAGCTTGAAAAGCAAGTAACTTCAAACTAAAAGCATTCTGATCAGTCCTGCTACGGGGGCGGATCTAGGATTTTTTTAGGAGGGTGTGCACTCGTCTCTTGCTCTACTTCAACACCAATAAACCACATAGTTTTTTTTTTGCAGAATACCAGCTGTATTAGAAAACCGCAGGTCATCTCAGGGGGGGGAGTGCGCACCCCCTGCACCCTCCCCCTAGATCCGCTGTGCTATGTAGCTTGTTTTGAAACGTTTTTTGGTCCGATTATAAGTCCCCTCTCCGTTTATAAGCTGTCCTAAAACCCCTTAAGGGGTTGTATAAGCCAGAACTTACAAAAAAGTCGACAGTGTACATGTTTTGTTCGATGTTCTCTGACGCATTGTTATAATTGTAGTTGAAAGTTAAGTCTACCCTGACGTAAACCATAGGAATGAAGTACTTTTTCACGGTTCCTTTCTAGATCTATAAAGGGATATTATGAACGTGACGCAAATGTTGTTTCCTGGTCGGGTAAGGCCTCGTCCGGTTCCAAAGTATCCGAATACCGGATTCCTGCGGTCAGCCGGTGGAAAGTCATATGTGCTAATGATTTTCCAAGAAACCTTGCCTGATTACGAGTTATACATGACATTCTCTCGCTATGTGCTCTTACGGATATATCACATGAACTATAAATCGAATTGCATTGTAAACGGTGTTCAAAGCTCAGCAGATTAGGAATGTTTCCATTGTCTCAAAGCCAAATATTCCTTACACCCTGTAAACACACAAGTAAGCCAAAACAAATACAAAATAAAGATAATCGATAACAAGAGCCATGGCTCTTGTCGATAATCATGAACCACTGCGCGTGTTTTTCACATTTTAGTTACGTTTTTTTTTTTAGGTCAAACGATACAAGTCAACGTTTTAGGGAAAAAAGAAGACTTCGCTACCATAATACGTTTCTTCTTTCTCTCCTAGAATTGGCTAGAATCTTAGGATGAATCTAGAGATTCTGACGCTCCCAGAACAATGAAAATTAGTTACGAAAAGAGCAATGTTAGCTAGGGAGTAATCTCCATGTTATGGAATGGAGTTAAAGCCTCAAATTAGAGTAAAGATTCCATTCTTAATAACGCAATAAAAAAATTATCGTGGAGTGAGGCTAAGAGAATTATTTCCTGTAGATTTCGTTGACATACCGTTGACAGCTTTTCCTTGATCAGAATACCGCGGATTCCATACCCGTGTGCGAGTGAATTCAAGAGTAAACACAAGAAATAAGTGTAAAGACTCGGGTCTTCATAGTATACCGTCGAGCAAAATACTAATAATTCATGACAAGACAAGTTTAGGGGATTATACCTTAAGGTGGAATTCGATAATCGGGGGCACACGTTCTCTAGTGTTTTCGTCACGCCTTTGCCGACAGAAGAGTAGCGAATATCAAACCTGCTCGAAAAAGTGAAGTCACGGGTAATTTATATCTCGATTATGGCAAAATCTTGGAAATATTTTGTGAAACTAAGAAGGTTCAGCTGGTAGAAAATGCTGATGAGTGCAAAAAAGAAGAGGAAGAACAAGAAAAAGAAGAAAAGGAGACAAATTGAAAGTCGAAAAAGTCAGTTTCACGATGACAATAAATAAAAAGCAAATAATATGAAAAGAGAACAAAACAGCTCGGTTCTACCCCATTCGTTACGTAATTTCGCGGTCAAGATTTCACGAGTACTAAAATAAACGCGTGAATATAAGTGTATTCAATTATGTAACCTGCGAGCAGTGGTTTCTCCGGGCCGGACGCTTCGAGAAACCACTACTCGCAGGGTATCAATTATGCGCTTGTATTGTGGTTTTTAACTCCCAGACATAGCGTCTGATAAACACCCAAAATAAAAAAGGAAATTGGCACATTTTCCAGAGAGAATATAAAGTAGAGATTGGGTTTGAAGGTTTCACTTTAGGTGTTCAAACACTCGTCCTAGCCTTTTTTTCTTTTTTTAATTCCAGTTGTAATATATTATTAAAATTCTTGTCTTTTTTTTTAAGTGCTATCCAAAGTCAGTATTAATAGATTCCTATCATAAAATTTGTATGTCCACAGACTATACTGAGGACAAAGATATTTTTAACGTTCAACGAACTTAATTACTTTCCATTTTCCAATTTCCCCGGCCAGTACACTGCGCCTAGCTATCGAGTACTATTTTTTTACTGTGACTAAAGATCGAAGACTGGTTAGGGGAATGTCTCCGGACGGACGAACATGGCTCCTGAACACCTACCGGGAAATACAATTCGTTGGCCTTAAATTTTAGCATCTGGCTTAACATGACACCTGAGTACGCGATAAGCAAGAAAAATAAACAGTAAGAAGATAAGCTTTCAGCTTTTTATTAATGAAATTTGGTACTGTGCTGCAGAAAGGGAGCTTAATGCCACCTCTACACTATACCCGGGATTATAGCTAAAATATATAAAAACACCTGTTCACAGTGCGTTAATTGTCTTTAGTTTCCTGAGTGAATATGACACCAGGCATGACACCAAAAAATTTTTAACTTAGTACGCATATAAACAAATTAAACTCGTTCGATTGATTGGCACTAAAGTATGTTTTTAGAAACTTGCTAAAAATGGAAAAGCTTTTTGCGGGAAAGCTTACGTCTAGTCTTCTGCCCAAAAACCTTCTTGACGTTAATTATTAACAGTAAAAAATATCAAGAAGATACGATTTCCAAACTGAAAATACTGTTTAAAACCCGTTTTTGCATATACAGCAGCTCAACTCCGTTTATAAATTATCGGCCCCTAAAGATGCCAACGAATAAAAGCCGATCTCCTCTGCATCTGTTTCTCCTCAAAAGTGCGAAGATGTTTCGCTGAATAACGGAAAAACACGACAATTTCCCGACGAAACACCGACAAATACCTCCTCTTCACAAAGGAGAACAAGGAAGTCGATACCGACTTCCAAGAAGATTCTATATATAGGCAAGGCTAATATTCCATGCACTTGCTCGCACGTTTTTTCTTTAAACAGCTTTATTAAAGAAAATACCTTTTAAGTCAGTTTCTCCTCAATGTCTTCAATCGTTAAATTGAACTTATAACTCGACTAAATTTCCATCCACCTAATCAAAATAGTCAAAATAATATGGATCGGCAAAGCATTACCGCAGGCAAAGCAGCCTTTCATATTTAGCTGTTTCAATTTGAATAAAAGACTCAAAACTTGTAACCACAGCCTTGCTATTATAAAATTATGTTAATGTATCTGGTTCGAAGCGAGCCCAGAAATTTCAGACAAATTTATTTCGAGATCAGCATTCACAGGAAGTTGTTTCTAGATAAACAGACTTGACCCATTTTAACACGCCGTCGTTTGAATGTTTCAGAACAAAAACCAAAGACAATCTTTATCAACATCTAGCCTTAAACATGCCGTAGAAAGAAGCGATAATCGTTGCTGGAGTAAGCGTGAATCGTGTTCGTAGTGCGTACTGACTGTTAAATTATTCACTTTAGAAGTAACAGTCAGAGAATGGAAAATTACTTACCCGTTACTAAAAGCAGTTCTGACGAAACCTCTAGGCATCTCTTGTGTCTGTGGTCCTCCAACCGGCTTTTAGCAAACACACATAATAATGCATCTCTCCAAGGACACAGGTAGATGTCTACAAGGCAAAAGCATTATATTATCGTGCGTTTAATAGTTTTAAATTTATGCCGGTAACATGATCTTCCGTAATACCTGCAAATCAATGAGGCGAGCGGGCGGGATTGGAAACTGCCTATTGATCTCTGAACCGCAATTTCCTGAAACTCGTGTATTGAAAGGTAAATAAACCACTGTGACAAAAGGTTGACAAAAGAATTCAAGAAGCACCCAGTCCTCTAGTTTCGAGTGTTTTATAACCAACGTCAGTTAAATATATAGTTGTTTCAGAAGAGTGCCCACTGACTGAAATACACAGCATCAAATTGACAGAAGTAAGGGGTATCTTTTTCAGGTTTCAGGTATATAAACAGAAGGGTAGGGACCCGGGGGTAGGGATGTCATTAGTTGAAGTATATGAAAGGATAGGGAAATCTGTCCGGCATTTGGGTCTGTAAAAGGACCAAAAAGGGCTCGAGAAGGTATACGAAAGGGGTCAGTGCCTTTTCTCTTAAAGTTGGCGTAGCCTCCCCGGATAAAACTAGGGTGAGTACCCCCCGGGGATTTTCTCGGGGCACGTCTCAGTTGATGCATTGCTGTGTACGTTGAAATGTGAAATATCCTTATGTTGCCAAGAGAAATGGTTATGAGAGTTAATATAATGATCACTTAAGAGAAAATTCTTTGATCTGTTTAACTCTCTCGACTTATTATTTAAGGAAATGTATGAAGATCAGTTTGGAGAATTCATATGTGGATATTGGAGTTTAAAAGGTTAGACACAGTGAAGTTAAACAGTCGATTTAAATGTTCTTAAAACAGGGGGGAGGGGGCGTCTACAGAGTGACTTTGCGCGTTTATCGCAATAATTAACGCCTTCAGAAGCCTATTTAAGGCTTCTGACACTTTTAATGTTTTTCAAGTTTTGATAAAGATGGCTGACAGTCATCGAAACTGTCAGCATCAAAAAGACGTTAACACTGTCTATTTTTGAAGAACATTTAAATCGACGGTTAGACACAAAATTTTGTAACAGAGCCCTTGACCTTCAATTTTGGCAGACATTCAGGGACTTTCTGATAGGTTTTACTTTCGCCTCCAACTTTCACGAGAAGCTAGTGTCTCTTTCGTGCAGCTAGCCAGATGCCGTCATTAACAACCAAGCCGTCAATCAAAGGTATAGGCTACTGTATGAGTTACCACTAATTCCATGCTGATATTGGCAAATTACGGTTACCCCTTAAAATTTTTCCTCGATTGCATTTCAATTGCGGAGGGCTAAATAATCATGAACACACACAGTCAAGTTACTTAATTCGCCACCACTTTGCTAGAAGGTGCTTTAGCTGTATGCGGCCATAGCTCAACATCTAGTCAGCAACAGGCCGCTGGTTCATTGATTGTAATGAGAAGTCGACTAAAGTACCTGACCATTTTAGAGGTACTTTTATCCCTCCTGTTTCAGAATACATTCAGAGACAAGCATATACTTGACAGAAAATCGTTATCTATATAAGACCGTGTAAATAATTTGCGGTTTCACCGAAAATTTCCAGAATCGTGTGGACACGGGTGGCCAGCGAAAATCATAAAATGCTACTTGTAAAAAGGAATCACTTGAACTGAAAATAAAATCCGCGGAGAACTAGATAGTATAAAAGCCATTCTAAATCCGAAATTATTTGTCTTTTGAGTCTCCTCCTTTTTACCATAAACTTGCCGGTTATTTTACTTTTTCGCTCGCCGCGCGAGGCTCTAAGGAAAAGAGGAAGACCGCTCGCGGTCTGTTTTTCAAAGCAGAATTACGCAAATTACACTCATTTTCATGAATGCCGTGCTTTTAGTCAACCATTCTTTGTCACCATGACAACCGTCAAGACTTCGGTGAACCGCTTGTATTAGTAGTTTCTTTCCCTGATGGTCTCTCGTGATAGTCTCTTACGTTTCGCCTTGTTTCCGCCAGATTTTCGGTCGAAACGATAATCAAGAGAAGCTATCTCAGGCTAAATGTTCTGGATTGTGAGACGGAAAAAAGGCAAAATAATAAAATAAAATTAACCTCCCTAATGAACTACATTTTAGCCAGCGAACTTGAATAAATTTTGAAAATTAAGATTTGAAGTGCTTAGTACAAACAAAACTGAAAAGAAAGCGGTGATCATGTGAAAAATATCTATCTATTAAATAAATAAAATAAATAATTCTTGTTTTGAGGCAGTTTAGAACTGACATGTCATCGGCGGTTTTGAACAGCTGTAATAACAAACAATCTTATTTTTTAAGAAAGCTAGCGATCGATTAAATCTTCTATCCTTCAAATCACGTGAGTGTTCATGTGCTAAACATATGTCAATAATTGTAAAAACCTTTGAATGCAGAGGTCCACGCAACGCGTAAATACAATCGACTGGTTCTTTCTTGCCGGATCTCTTTCAATGTAACTCTGGCCCTGAGCAAGGCTTATTTTGTTAGCCGAAATATTGGCCTCAAATAAATTAGCCTCTTGCTCACGAGCCGTAAGTGCCAGCCTTACATTCAGTTTTGTTTTGGAAGGGAGGGGGTAGGGGATGAGGTGGAAATGAACGAGCTTTCTGGCTTTCTGTCCCTCCCCTCCCTTTACACCAAAGCTAAGAACCCGGAAGTTTAACTTCAACAAGTTATCAGTGAAACGTGACGTGGTTCGAAAGGACAGCAGGCATTCATGGGCTGATTGTTATTCAGTGCTTTCCTTTTATATGAGATAGTTGCGCAGCTGATGTTTTGAACATGCCACGGTTGACTGTTTATGTTCCCTATTTTCCCGTAACTGAATCCTCGCTATCGAGCCCCTACTCCAACTGACGGTATAGCCATCTCGGTTTCAACTGTACCGATCTATATCTATTTACAATATCAAACGCTCTAAAATTTACGGAGCAGTTATAAACTAAAAAATAGATATGTATATTGAATGCGGATATTTTAGTGTCAAGAGAGAATGAGTTAGATCATTCTCTCTTGTTAGTGTATAAAAACTTGCGATTTCGGTAATGCTTAACTATGACAAAAGTCATTAATACGGGCAACTGATTCTTTTTAAATTAAATAATCCGATGCATGATGAGATCTGAGTTCTTTTTAACGATAACAGCGACTTTATTGACTTTATCTTCGAAATGAAGATTTCAGTACCAAAACAATCAATATAACAACAAATGAGACAAGGTAAAATAAAAGTTAATTAAGAGAAAAAGGAACAACGACGATATATTGAACATTAACATAGAAAATTATGTGGCTACGATGGCTTCTAAGCTACTCGTATTTTAAGAAGGCTAAATACTAAACAAGCAGGATGTTCGTTAATAGAATAGACTACACGGATTAATTCTAGACGATGACTTCATTTTCACAAAATTTTAAGGAGTGAAATCTTGCACTAATAGCTTAGTGAGTATTGTCACGGACGTGTACTTAATTTTTTTAAAACTTATAAATTACGCTTTCTTACGACGGAACTTGACGTTAGCGAAAAAATTAATTATGAATGACAAAACACAGCTTCTTGCCCGACCAATACGCCTCTCCAGTATTATTTCAAACGTTTTTTTTAACAAAAAAATAGGGGTAAAGAATGGTAAATTCGAGACTTTGCGAGACAGCGAGACCCTGGTTTAAAAATTCGAGACAGAGACTTTTTTTAATCAAATCCAAGACCAAGACTTTACTCTTAAAAATCCGAGCCCAAGACTCTAAGTGCTGAAGATTTTGAGGTAATGGTATTAATAAAGTTCTTAGCCGTTGCCTGTAAACTGAGGCTCATATAGCTAAAAATAAGTGGAGTGGCAAGAATACCTGCAGCAATGAATATTTGCTGAGTCAATTAGCTTTAATGTACCGCTGCTAAGGGTAACATATTCGGCGTCTGTATTTCATAGTCTGTATTTCACGCTTATTTTAAATGCCGACATTTTGAGATCAGACCAATATTTTCCGAGACACACGCTTTTCGAGGTACCATTTGAAACTTTGAAAAACCGTTAGGCAAACGCGTTTTCAAAACAATGAAATAATTGCAATCCGTTTCAATCTTCTTCAAATTTGTCCACCCGTGACTGCTTTTGACATATTTGCCTTGTTACTAAAACTTCCTTTTAACATTTTGAGTAGTTATTTTTCCTTTTTGCTCTCAATTTGGTGGCAGTTTCTACTATTAGGTTTAAATTTCTCGTAAATTTAGTGACGCAGTTCCTTTAAGCCAACTGTTTACTTTAGCAAAGTCAAGCAAACTTACCATATCTTGATATTTTCTTCAGCTGTTAAGTACAACAAGGCTCTTTTAGCGATGGTAATGTGAGTGTTCTTTTGCGCGTATGAAACTAAAACTGGGATTTTGCCCCTTAAAACAGTTAAAACGTGGTGGCATTCTAATAAAACTATGTGAACGTAGGCAGATGGATAGATGAGCGTGGAGAGCAAGTCATTCTTAAAAAATGCTAAATCACGCGACACGGCCCGTTCAAGATAATACACGAAGGTTAAGTTTGACATCATGTGGGTAAATATGTTCATCTGCATAATTATTTATATCCCGTGGAGTTGTCACGTAAACAGGCAAATGACGTAAGTAACTTACAAATTTTCTTCGTGTCTAAACTGTTTCAAGTTTTTTGTTTTATTTTTACATTACAGAATTAACTACAACCTTCCTGGGAAAGAAAAGGTTACTCAACATATTTTAAACGAAGGGTCTCTACCATAGCCTTCTCGCAAGCACCAGTGTCCTAGCTCTACCTAGACGATCTATCACCTTGAACCCTTTTGTCAGCACCATTTTTAAACGACGAATACCTTCCACTGAAAAATAGTATCCCCATGTCAAATGCCTACTTAAAGGTACTACCCCTCTCCCTTAAATCCTTGAGCCCCTTGAGAAAAAAATTGAACGATATTACGCGAGAACATCAACTTAAATAATACGACCGAGGTAGGTCTGTAATATTCTTCTTCGATAT